TTTAATTTTGAAGACTCGAAGAGGGTATAAATACCAGAACCCAGAGAGACAAAGCGAGGGTTTCAAGAAGATTGATGGAGAAGGAAGAAGGCTGCTGGTTCTTCCTGTTTGCCATCTGCTGTTGCTGGACTGCTAGACATCCTGATGACTGCGATTTTCCCAGAGAACCTGATGACTTTACCCAACCAGAACTAAGTCTTCATGCCCTTTCCCTTTTAACCTTTCTCTCCTACCTAGGGCTGGGGGTTTGGAAGGGAGGTAAAGGTCTTAAGAAACACCCATATAAAGTAGAGTTTAAACACTAGCACCTACAGAATTTGGCTCCCAGCACCTATTATCATGTGGCTCAGAAATGTCTAACCTTAGCTCCAGGGAATCAGATGCCTCTAGCCTCCATGGGCACCTATACTGGTGAACACACACCTACATATAATTAAAAATAGCAAAAATAAATATTAAAAAGTAGTAACCTTTAAAATATTTAGTCTTTTCTAATATTTGTAGAATAAAGTATTAAACATTTGTCTTATTAAGATCACAATCTAGTAAGTTTCAAACTCTTTTCCTCTCTTCTGAAAATGGTAAAAAGATCTCAAAAGAGAAACAAGAGGTATAATTATTGAACCATCCTATAAATGCCCGATATTAAGAGAAAAAAAAATCCTTTACTTACTTTATAGATCTGATGTGAAGGCTAGAAATGAAAGAACATAATGCCCTGTGGCATGCTGCTTCACTAACACTGTCACAGGCATTATCAGTGCCCGAGCTGCTGGTTACTGCTGCCATCTAGCAGCAGGTCCAACAATGAGAGAACGCAGGGCTCACTCAGGACGGAACTCCAAACAAGTCACAGGAACAGGTGCTTCTAATGCTGACTTTGACAACTGAAATTGAACTGAATTTTTTTCTCAGAAGTTTCTCTCTCCCTGAGAAATATAAATTATTTCCATGTGAGCATCTAGACTTTTACCTCAACTCTGATCTCTCTTCAAAATTCCATTATTCTAAAGTAGTGGTTCTCTGGGTTATGATCCTTTTGGGGGTCAAATGACCCTTTCACAGGCCTAAGACCATCAAAAAACACATTTACATTATGATTCATAGCAGGAGCAAAATTACAATTATAAAGTAGCAACGAAATAATTTTCTGGCCGGGGGGTTACCTCGACATGAGGAAGTGTGTTAAACGGTCGAAACATTGGGAAGGTTCAGAAGCACTGCACTAAGGTCTGCTCAGATCCCCACACCTGCTCGTATGTGCCACCAAATTTCAAATACATCCAAATGTGCTTTCCTATGATTTGTCCCTATTAACTTCAAATCTTACTTATCTAGGCTCAGAATCAGATCTCCTTTGATGAAGGAAGAGAGTAAACTAGGTAATGATCCTTCTATGAAAATGGCCCTTAATGTCTGCTTTAATATTTACCTTCCATTACCGTCCTTGTTCCCTCTCACCTCTCATCTGCAGCAACCAAACACACACAGAGGACAGGAAGTACTTCATGTAGCCCCTAGATCAGTGCTTTTCATCCTCGCTAATGCTGAGTCTCAGTGTGCAGCCTTGACCAACCTTGAACTCGAAGATACCCACCAGGCTCTGTCCCCCAAGGACTAAGATTATAAGTATGTGTCACAACATATGGCTAACAATATCTTTAATAATGATAAATATCATGATGCATCCTTTTGTTGTTTAAAACTCCAGGTATTAAATGAAAGTTTAAATTTACAAAAGAGTACACTTAATAGCCACAACATTCTAGCAGGTAAAATGTGTTAGTAAAATACTTTTCCAATGACAGAATTACTAAAAGGACTGCTGCTCTCTCCAAGACCCCCACATCCTTTTAGGTCACCTGTCTCCTACCCATGCTTCAAGATTCACTTCAAATCCTACTGGTCACATAAAATTCTTATTAATCCACCACAAAGTGAATTTCAACCTTCTCTAAATACCAGTGTTGTGATGTTCATGCAGCAATAATTTTATGTGAAGTAAGTTGAAGTGTTAATTATCTGTATCTTAACATATTTTAAATTGCTTCGGCCTCCTAACGAGAATAAACGTTGTGAGAACAGAAATATATTTTTCAATCCTCTTCTGTTTACAAGACAGGGTCTCACTATGTAGCCCTGGCTGGTCTGGTATTCACTATGTGTCCCAGGCAAGCACTGAACCACAGCAATCTTCCTGCCCCTGACTCCTAAACCCAGGGATTATAGGTGGGTGTTACTACATCTAACTCCCTATCTTTTCATATCAATTCTATCAATCCGTAGATAAACAACCCTACTTCCTGTGACAAATACAAACACAGATGTCCTCAGTAGAGGAAAACAAGGAGACTTACTCACATTTATGTAAAACAATGGTAGATAAACAGGAAGACTCACAAAACCTCACTAAACCCTCAGAAGCAATCTAACTCCCCTCCCACTGTTTTATTGTTTAGAAGGCAGGTTCCTGCACAAGAAATAAATTTAAAAGTAACAATATAAGCATCTATAATCATTGCTTTGAGAATGTAAGTTCATGCCAACCTCCTTCATTCTCATAAAACTCCATGTCTTAGTCAGAGTTACTGTTGCTGTGATGAAACACCATGACCAAAGTAACTTAGGGAGGAAAGGGTTTATTTGGGTTATACTTCCATATTGCTGCTTCCATCAGCAAAGGAAGTCAGGACAGGGATTCAAATAGGGCAGGAACCTGACTGATGAAGCTGAGGCAGAAGCCATGGAGGGGTGCTGCGTCAGCTTGCTTCCAATGGTTGGTTCAGTCTACTTCCTTTTTTGTTGTTGTTGTTTTGATTTTTGAGACAGGGTTTCTCTGTGTAGCCTTGGCTGTCCTGGACTCACTTTGTAGACCAAGCCTGGTCTACTCACAGAGATCCTCCTGCCTCTGCCTCTCAGAGTGCTAGGATTACAGGCATGCACCACCATGCTGGCTTCAGGCTGCTTTCTTATACAGCCCAGGACCCTCCCATAGGAAGCCCCACAATGGGCTGTGCCCTCCCACATCTATCACTAATTAAGAGAACGCCCTACAGACTTGCCTACAGCCCAATCTTGTGCAGGCATTTTCTCAGTTGAGGCTCCCTCCTTTCCGTGACTCTAGCTTGTGTCAAGTTGACATAAACTAGCGAGTGCACTCCAGGAAGGCAGAATCGAGGAAGCTAAGGAATTGGTCAGGATTTCCATATTACACACAGTTCTCTAGCTGCAGAGAGCACTCAATAAACACTCATGTACTCTCTAGCTACTTCTAGAAACTGAGCAAGTATTCAAATGCTACTTTTTATTTTACAAAAAGGATTGGGTAATCTTAACTTTCCAGAATGCTGTATGTACTTTATGACATTATACTTTTATGTAAAATAAAAACCTACACATTAATCATTTACGATAAAAATAGTCCAATGATTCATAAATGGCATTATTTAAGAATGGCTCAGAGGACTGTGTTAAGTCTCAATTCCTTTCTTAGTTCTCAATTAAGACTCAAAAAATAGTGTGTAATCTTAAAGAGAAAGTTTAGAATAACTTCAAAAACTAATTCAGGGCTACATTAAGGCTAGAGGCATGACAGGCCGAGGGAAAACATAAAAAAAAAAAAAAAAAAATTCAACCTTTATTTCCTTTCTTCCTTACTTGAAAACAGACTGTTATGCACGGTAACAACTTCAGGTCTGAATAATACAGGACTAAGGATCCAAGGCGAAAGAGAAGGGCTCTAAGAGAAATCAGAACCAAGATAAAAAGACTGACAGCAGCCAGGAAGTATGAACACGGGTGAGAGAGAGACATTTGGTGCAGTGGTGTAGCCAATACACTGGGTCCTGGTGCTCCTGTAAATAACCCTTAATTAAATTCACTGGGCTTCACACAGACTTGAAAGGGGAGGAAGTCAACAGGACCCGGCCATGAGGATAATGGGAGAAGTTAAGCATGGCTTATTTATGTATAAGAAAACGTCATGATGAAATCCACTAAAAGTAACTAACGAAAATGTATTAACACAGTAGGAAATGAAGGCACTATCCCGTGTCAGCTCAGTCAGCAGTACTACAGACAGCCTGAGCTGGCTTTAGGGGAAACTGTTCAGAACCTACCCTGGCTTACTTCTGCTTGGGGTGGGGCTGAGGTAGCCTGCAAGAAATCTCAGATCTTCCCTGGGCTCTATTTTCCCGCCCCCTTATGTTATTTACTGGTTCTTTGGTGTGACCGATTATGTAACACGTACTGAGTTCTTTCCATATACCATGTGCTGCTCTAAGTCCTTCATGTGTTGTCCTTTGTTCGGCCTTCTGGGAAGTCCTATAAAGTATGTATCTTTACAGTATGTTTTGTTTTACAGTATGATTGTTGTTTTCACTTTTTCCTTTTCTTTCTTTTGTTTATTTATTTAGTCTTCTGAGGCATGATCACTATAGGCTGTCTCAAACTTGCATCAGTCCCTCAGCCACTCAAGTTCTTCGGTTTACAGGTGTGCACTTCCACATCTGGGCGCCACATTTGCTACTCCCAGTTATAATGAGGTGAGGTAAAGTTTGAAGAGTAAAGTGAAGCTGAAGGTGACGGCACACTTTTGTCATTCCAGGTACTGAGGTGTAGGAGGATCACCACAGCTACAGCCTGCCTGGAGAACAGTGTGTTCAGTGGCAACCTGGACAACTTTGTGACACTGTTTCACACCTTGTATGAAAACGGAAGAATTAAAAGGGGCTGGGAATATAGCTCAACGACAGAATACTTGCCCAGAAATCACGACACCCTGGATTCTCTCCTACTCACCCCCATTGCCTAGGCAGAGCCTATACAACAGTCCCCTACAAATCCCTATTGCCTAGGCAAAGCCTATACAAGTCTTCCTACAGTCCTGGCTGTCCTGAAACTCACTGTGTAGATCAGGCTGTCCTCAAACTCACAGATACCCACCTGCCTCAGCCTCTGCCTCCAGAGTGCTAAGATAAAAAGGTGTGTGCCATCACACTAAGCAAAGCCTACTCTTCATGAATTTGTGTGTCATCCTAGCACAGGGGCATGATAATCTTCTCTGTGTCCTTCCAATTTTAGTATATATGCTGCCAAAGTGAGCACAAAGCCTAAACTCTTAAAACACTTTCTAATAGTAGCTTTCAAATAGTATGGGATATATTTTGCTTTATTTTTATATGCCTTAGAAATTTTACTATATGCATAAGTTTTTATCAAATAGTAAAATTATACATTATGTATATAAAATTATACATAATACAAAAATCAGGAAAACATAGACAATTTATAGTAAATGATTTTTTAAGGTAATGGAAATATCAGTGATATGAAATCGAGTGTAAATTATGGTTACCTGTGGTAAATGTACACATTTCTGAGTACCTATATTGAGCCAAGCATGGGGACACACATCTTCAATGCCAGGACTTGGGAGGCAGAAGCAGGCAGATCTCTTTGACAGCCAGGGCTATATAGAAAGACCTTATTTCAAAACAACAAAACAAAATAAATAAAAGCATCATTAGTTTTGAGATAAAATTAAAATTAGCAGGCCAGAGAAAGAGCTCAGTAGGTAAAAGTGCTTGCCACCAAGCCTGGTAACCTTTATTCAGTACCTAGAGCATATCTGGTACAAGGATATCCAAGTCCTTCAAGATACCCCAACACATAAAATAAAATACATATAAAAAAGAATTGAACACCAGTTATCATGTGAAGCATTCTCCTAGCTACTTATGTCACATTAATAATAACATCAAATAAAGTCAAGGGGGAGGGATTTTATTCAATTAACAGTGTCAAGTACAGGTTTAAGCCCTTCAAATATTCACAGCATCCTAAGAGGTGCTTATTGCTATTCAATTTCACAGCTGGGGATATAGAAGCATAAACAGAGCTGTTAAAGATAAACAGACCGAGGGTGCAGAGACAGTCAGGACTCAAGAGCAAGCCAAGCACTTTCACGAAAATTCTAACCACTAGCTCTGCTCTCCTTCAAGAAATGCTAAATTCTTTTTTAGTTTGTTTTATTTTTTGTTTGTTCTGAAACAGGGTCTTACTATGCAGCCCTACTGTCCTGGATTCATTATGTATACTAGGCTATCCCTAAACTCCAAGATCATCTTGCCTTTGCCTCTGGAGTCCTGAGACTGAAGGAATGCACAGCTACACCCAGGCATAATTTTTTTTCTTAGAAAAGACAGCAGTAGGTTAGAGATGTAGCTCCGTGGAAAATCACGAATTCAGGCATGTGTGGGGCCCAGTATTCTATCACGAGCACATCTGAAAAGATAAACAGTAGGACTGTTATAGACAGAGTGCTGGCTCACAGTCTGTTCTGCTTTGGATTAAAGGTGAACACCACTGTGCCCAGCACAATGAAGAATTTAAAGGATTAGGAAACTAAGGACTCGGGGCTGGCGATATGGCTCAGAGGTTAAGAATATTGGCTGCTTTTCCAGAGGTCCTGAGTTCAACTCCCGGCAACCACATGGTGGCTCACAACCTTCTATAATAAGATCTGGTGCCTTCTTCTGGCTTGCAGGCAGAACACTGTATATGAAAGAATGAAAAAGAAAAGGAAGGAAGGGAGGGAGGGAGGGAGGGAGGGAGGGAGGGAGGGAGGAAAAAAAGGAAAGGAAACAAAGGACTCTGAAGGGTAGCTGGCCAGAAGGGGCACTCTCTAGCACATCAAAAGCTAGGCACACAACCAGGTTAGTTATATGTAGCTATGCCAGGCTTCTAGCCAATGGAATGTGAAAGAAAATAATGTAGGCCACTTCCAGGCCTGACCCACAGAAATTTCTCTCACATGTGCTTCTCCTGATCCTTTCTCCTCCTAATAAAAACAAAAACACAAATCTTTATGAAATTTTTCTAACAAATGCCTAACTGGAGCTGGGTTTTCATATGCTTATTCCAATGTATTTATCTAGTACTTAGCAAAGCTTTACTTTGCTTATCTCCCCCAAACTATGAATTCTAGCATAATTCTAGTCCCAGGTGTACAAGCAGGTAGAGCACAGTATTAGAGAGCAAATTAGAAGAGGAAATTATTGATGTAGGTCAAGAAAGGTCATGTTTATGTAGAGGACACAAAGATTGTAGAAAAATTATATAGCTTGGTTTTTCATTTTACTCATTCAATAAAGAGTGAAGCATGATAGGAGGAAACTCTAAGTCATTAGAGCTGCTGTTTTGCTGAGGAAACAGCAAAGGGCCCTAACATGTCCATCTCTCCATAAAGCCTACTGTATAGTCTCAGTTAGGAGCAACGGGACTCAGAAGTTTGAAGTGGTTGGGTTTTGTTATTATTTTGACACAGGGTCTCATGTAGCTCAGCGTGCTCTCAAACTCACTGCATAGGTAAGACTAGACCTTGAACTTTGCAGCTGCTGGTTTCCCTCCTTCCACACCTTCTGTGTGCCATGCACCACCACTCCCAAATGATTTGGGTGTCTGAATCGCTGGTTTTCTTATCATAAATTCCCATCACCTAAGATCATGCTATTTAAAAGTGAAGCATACACACAAACCTATGACTACAGTAAACTAGGAAAGACGCCACTGAATAAATAGCAATCTTTGCCAAGTGCAGTAATGTTATGATCTCATAAATAAATAATTCAAAATGGCATCAATCAGGATCATCATGAACTGACTGCAAGTCACATGAATTCTTAAGGCAGGCTAGAATTCAATGACACTTTTCTAAATGACTGATTCTAATTTTACAGGTGAGGATTATTCCATTACCTCTGCTGTTCAAGAGATGTTCAGTTCTTTCACGGCCGTTTAAAAGTCTAACTTACCAGTTACCTAACATAAACTTTTTCTCTTAAAGTCTCTACTACAGACTCAGTTACACCTTCGGTGACTTTGTGGAGAGCTGAGTAATGGCTCCCCAAGATACATAAGTCCTACCTACCTCCTAGAACCCATCAACATTTTTCATTATGACAAAATGGTTTCACATAACAAATTAAGCATTTTGAGATGGAGCAAATAATTTTTGACTACCTGGGAAGGCCCTATATATTATAGGAGGAGGGAGTTGAGACTTGGCCACAGAAGAGGGGGTAGATGACGCTGGAAGCAGCCATTACTGACTACATTGTGAGAGGTAGGAGCTACAAGCTGAGTCCGCACATGCAATCCCAGCACCTTCCCTAATGCAGGAAGCTTGCCAGGCATTCAAGACCAGGAGGGGCTATATGACGAAACTGTCTTTAAAGAAGAAAAAAAGAGCCACAGCCTAACCAACATAGTCACTAAAAGCTAGAAAAGGCTAGAAAAAAAAAAAAAAAAACCCACACAAAACAAAAATTTGTATGAGACCTCCAAGAGGCTTTAAGGAACCTTTGATAACTTGACATTAGCCCAGGAAAAAAATTAGACCCAACCTGAAAGATAATACACTTGTGCTGTTTTGGTTGTTTTCCCTAAGTGCACACGTCTGTGTATGCCTGTGGGCTGTTGCCTGAGTAGGCGGGAAGCAGTTTTAGATCTTCTGGAGCAAGAAATTAAAGCTGCCCAATGTGGATGCTGGAAACCCAACTTGGGTCCTCTGCAAGAGCAGGAAGATTTTGTTTTGTGTTTTGGTGGTGGTGGTGGTGGTGGTAGGGGACTGCTCTTTATAGCCTTGGCTGTCCTGGAGCTCACTATGTGCAGCAGGCCAGCCTCAAACTCAGAGATCTGCCTACCTCTGCCTCCAGAGCACTGGCATTAAAGGCCTATACAACCAGACTCTGTACGGAATGCATTCTTAATCACTGAGCCATCTCTCCAGCCCCACATTTACTCAGTTTTAGGTTACAAAGCTTGTGATAATTTGTTATAGCAGCCATCTGAAACTAATATAAACCCTCTCAGAAATTTGGCAGTAGTCAGCTATGGTGGCTTATGCCTATAATCCTAGCATTTGGGGAGCTAACACAAGAGGATTAGATTTGAGGCTAACCTAAAATAAACAGTTAATTCAGGCCAGCCTGGGCGTATAGCGTGAGAGCCTGTCTCAAAAAACAACAGGCCAGTGAGATTACTCATCTGATGACCCAGATTTGATTCCCTGGACCTACATTGGTGGAAGCAGAGAGCAGACTCCCACCTTGTCCTCTGGCCTCCACAGTTGCAATGTCACACACAGTAAATGTAATTTAAAAACAGAAGGCTTGAGAGTGATTTGTACATGATGCACCCTAAGATATCAACCTGAACTAGCATGAAATGGCCTATATCAGAAATATACTCATTTTTATTAGGTAACTATATAGAAATCACTTGAGACTGGAGAGATGGCCCAGTGGTTAAGAGCACTGTCTGCTCTTTTGAGAGGTCCTGAGTTCATTTCCCAGTGCCCACATGGTGGCATTCAGGTATACATGCAGGTAGAGCATTCAGATACATAAAAATAAGTAAGTAAATAAATCTTTAAGAGGAAATCACTTGAGCCAAGGATGTAGCCCAGTTGGTAGTGCGTGCCAAGCATGCACAGAGCACCTGGGTTCAAGCCCCAGGACTTGGTGTGGTCATACCATCATGGTGGCACACCTGCAATGCTAACACTCCAGAGTTGGGGAGGTAGGAGAATCCTAAATTCAAAATCATCCCCAACTGTACAGTGAACTCTAGGACAGACTTAAGAACCATGAGCCCGTGCAGATTGTTTTTTGGTTGGTTGGTTTTGTTTCTAGAGACAAATGAAAATGTAGGTTTTCTATTTTATTTACTTTTAACATCAGAATGGGAAAGCAAAAAAATAACATCTTAAGATGGGTCTAGGACACTGGCCTTTAATCCTAGCACTCAGGAGGCAAAGACTAAGCCTGGTCTACAAAGTTCCAGGCCAGTCACAACTACATAGATTGGGGCCCTGTCTCAAAAAAACAACAAAGCTGGGCAGTGGTGGCTCAAGCCCTTAATCCCAGAACTAAGTGAATCTCTGTGAGTTCCAGGCCAGCATGGTCTACAGAGCAAGTTCCAGGGCAACCAGGGCCACACAAAGAAACCCTGTCTCAAAAACCAAACAAACAACAAAAACAAGTATTTTAAAAAAAGCAATGCTTTCATTTCTATTTTGTAATAAACAGAAGTTGCAGCTTTGGCTGATGGTGAAGGCCTTTAATTCCAGCACTTGAGAGAAAAACAAGTTCTCTAAGTTTGAGGCCAGCCTGGTTTACATAATGAGTTCCAGGATCACCAGGGCAATAGGCCATCTCTGCTGATGAAACGAGCCAAATTAGAACATATAAAGGCAGGTTTATAGGGAGCAGCTCTTGGGCAAGTTCACCAGTCACAAGGAACAGGGTCTGGAAAGTCAAAGTGCAGAGGGAGACACAGAAGTGGAGAGAAAGAAAGAGTGTGCCCATGCAGAGAGAAAGAGAGAGAGATCAGAAAATGTCTGGATTATATAGGGAGGGGAATCCCAGGCCCTGGTGGGGTATGCTGGCCATGGCCTGTGTAGCAGGTAGTGACTGATGGATACTGAGAGAACCTGGGTACCTCAGCCGTTTGTCCCAGGTCTGAATAAAAACAAAACAAAACAAAAACAAAAAGACCAAAAAAACAAAAAACAAAACAAACAAACAAAAAAAAAAAAAACCTCGAAAAACCAAAAGAAACAGGAAAGAAAAAAAGTTGTAGAAAACATAGTCATGATTTTAGATTAAACAAAGGCATACTTCCCAAACTGCACTGAGGGGAAGTGAAAGAAAGCTCAAGTGATGTGGGCTGACTTACTTTTGCTTTGTGTTCTACAAAATCTAAGGTAAAAACAGAAACCAGAAGCTTCTCACTTCTGTTGTCTAGGTAATATTGAACCGAACCGCAGACAGGCAGGTAAGCAGTCCACACTAAGGTTTCTCAGTGTAAGGAGGCTGCATGGTTTTTGCAGCTCTATCCCACGCAGGTGCCGTTAAACAAGGAGCAGAAACGGGAGTGGTTGGAACTAGTAACGTATACTTCAAGTCCACGCTTTCACTGCATTATCCCAACACCAAGAAGCAGTTTGGAAATTTTAACCGTGCAGTTTAAAAATCTGAGGTTCACAGAATCAGAGTTAGGAACCAGACCCTCGGCCTGATGCCTTCCTACCGGTTCATCTCACCTGGGGACAACAGTCAATTAACTGGCTTCCAGAAGCACCGTCTCGGATTTTAAAAGAATTTGAAGTTAGGAAAGAAAACAGGAGCGGTCTGCTTGTTGCACCATCTTTTAATTTTACATTCACGGAAGCTGATTTTCCTCAATCTATGTTGTCAGTTAGCCGAGACGTTTAATGAAGACGAATGTCCTGAACGCACCTACCTCTTGGGTGTTTTTTTGTTGTAGATTAGGGTTTTTTTTTTTTTTTTCCTGTGACAAAGTTTTCCTAGGAAGCCTTGGCTGGCCTGCAACTCAAGAGGTCCTCCTGCCTCAGCGTCCCTCCCAGTCAGTGCTGGGATCACCACTGGGTGCACCCCCCACCCCGGGCCAGCACCCAGCTCTGTGGACTAGAGGACAGGACACACGGAAGTCACATTGCATAGCAGCCTGCATCACAGCACACTGTGCCCAACTCGGCTCCACGTCCCAAGCTCTCTCACATGGAAAACAGCCAGAGGCAGGAGGCGGATGTGGAAAGAGCGCGAGGAAGGGCAGGCAAGAGCGAGCGGGGCCTACCTGCCCTTGCTCGGAACTGATGCAGAGGAAGCATCCCAGTGGCGTGGACCACCCGGCCTAACAGAGATCCACTCAGCCCCTGAGCGCACCTGCCCCGCCCTCCCACGCCGCCCGCTCCTCTCCGCGCTTCCTGCCCGGAGCTTTTGCACGCGCATGCAGCACAGCGGCCGCCGATCCAGAGAGCTGCCCTCCCGGGATTGCCGCCCAACCCGGCCCGAGAGAAGGTACCTCAGCCGTCCAACCCACACTGGAGTGGGAAGAAAAACCACGCTCTGCCCGCGGCCGGCCGGAACTCCGCCCTCCGCCTCTGATTGGATGACGTTATAGAGGAAGCTGGAGCGGATTGGTCCATAGCAAAGAGGCGGGCCTGCGGACGCCGAGGCGGGAGCGGTGCGGTCTTGCTTGCAACCTTCCGATTGGACGAGGGTAGGAAGGATGCGCATGCGTAGCTCAGGCCACAGGGCGTGTCTTAACAACACCGCCCCCTACGTCAAGTTAACGGAAGTCTTTACGACCCAGCTTCCTGGATGTGTGGCCAATAAAGGGCAAGAACGTCGCGGGTCCCGCCTTTTCATGCGGAAGTGGCTTAACCAGTTCTTCTAGCACTTCCTTCGCTTTCTCAGAGTTGGGCAGAAAATTGTTACGCAGACTAAGGGCCTTCTCCTGGGGTGAGGCAGGATTTGGGGGCCAAAGCCTAGCGATGCAGGCCGGTTTGAAAGAGCGGTAGCCGGCCTTCGCTCCTGCGGAGTCCTTGGATAGATCGAATCCCCCTCTCTATACTGGTGGACCCACAGCCCCAGAGGCGAGGTCCTCCCCAGGAGGGAGTTAAACCATCCCCCAGTAGCCTTTGATGTAACGTTTTACAGAAATCTACCTGGAAGGTAGGTTGGGTCTCAGCAGCTAGATTGGCGAAGGGCTCCCTGATTCTGGTCTTCTTAAATTGTTATACTCAAGGCCCTGGTTTACGAGGGTTTGGGGCCTTTCCAAAAAAAAAAAAAAAGACAAAAATGGACAACCATAATGATAGGGCCCTCGTCAGTCTTAGGTTCAGAGGATCCGGTGACACTCATTTGTCATTTTCTGTAACCTTCAGGTGGATCCGGTGGGTTCATGGGGTGACCTTCATTGCACTTCCAGCCCAGACCCTCTTTACCTACCAGGGTGGGACTTGTGGGCAGGCTTAGACACACCAAGGTGCAGCCTCTTGATCCATGGATGCAGCTGTTGCAGGGCCTGTTGAGGAGGAGGTGGTTAGCAGTTCCTGTGTTCCTTCTTGTATATGGATCCTCCTGCCTCCACCTCCCCAGTGCTCGGATTAAAAATGCATTCCACCTTGCCCAGCTTTTTTATGTGGGTCTCGGGGATCGAGCTCAGGTCCTCCTTTTGGAAGTCAACCACTTCATCCAACAGTTATCTCCCCAGCCCCCGTTATCCCTTTGTTTTGCATCAGGGGCTCACTTTAGCCCGAGCTGGAGCTGGCCTTGAACTCACATCAATCTTCCTGTCTTGGTGTCTTAAATTCTGGAATTAGAAGTAAGTGCTGTTACATTTGGCTCAAGGTAATTCTTGAGATGCAAGAAAAATATTTAAATCCATAGGCAGAGCCTAGTGGGCATGTCTTGAACCTGGCATTTGGGAGGCGGGGTCAGGAGAATCTCTGAGTCCAAGGCTAGCCTGGTCTACAGAGTGAGTTCCAGGATAGCCAGGGCTACACAGAGAAACCCTCTGTTTCACAACAACAATAAAAGAGGCAAAGGCTGGAGGTTCTCTGAGTTCCAGGGCAGCCAGAGATACACAGTGAGATACTGTCGTAAAAAAAAAAAACAAAACAAAACACTAAAATCTTATTTGTATGTATATTCTTATTCTTGGTATCTTAACATTGTGCTTTATTTCTGAATTTTAAATTTATTCATGATTGGGGCTGGAAGATGGCTTAGCAAGTAAAAGGAGTTGCTACCAAGACTGAGGACCCAGATTCTGTCCCCAGGCCTCACATGATGGAAGGAAAAAACAAACTGCTATAAATTGTCCTCCGATCCACATGTGTGCTGTTCTGTTTTTTTGTTTTTATTTTTTGTTTGTTTTTACACAGGGTTTCTCTGTGTAATACAGCCTTGGCTGTCCTGAACTTGCTTTGTAGACCAGGCTGGGCCTCAATTCACAGAGACCCGCCCATCGCCGCCTCCCAAATGCTGGGATTAAAGGCCTGCACCACCACACCTGGCCTGTGCTGCTCTTAAGTAGCCTCTGTTTCCTGTCCTCATGAGAGTTGGGCCCATTCTATCTGTGACTCATTCTGTCAAATCTTTCTCTGATTTGTCACTTTGTCAGTTCCTCAATTAGATGTCATTGTTTGGGATTAAAAATGTGCACTGAATTCCAGCCAGAGGGACTGAGAGTGTGTATCCCCGGTGGATCACACAGACCGAGGTCTTAGGATGTGATCCCCTTGCCAGGGCAGCCATGTTAAAATTAAAGTTCCTCTGCACTGTTGGACTCTCATGGGTAGTGCTTTATTGTACTGGTTAGGGTTTTTGTCAGCTTGATACAAACTGGAGTCACATGGGAAGTGGGAACCTGAACTGAGACAATGCCTCCATCAGATTGTTGATTAATCATTTTAATCATTTAATCCATCATTTTCTTGATTAGTGCCTGATGGTTGATGTGGGAGGGTACAGCTCACTGTTGGCAGTGCCTGGCCAGGTGGCCTGGTAGGAACAAGACTGAGCATGAACTCGAGGAGCAAGCCAGCACGAAGCAACAGCCTTCCTGCGTGGCATCTGCTTCAGTTCCTGCCTGCTGGTTTCAGTCTTAGCTTCTCTCAGTGATGGTCTCCGATCCAAACCTGTAGGCCAAATAGGCCCTTTCCTGGTCTTTGTCACAGCAATAGGAAGCAAACTAGGATAATAATCCAAGCATTTCTTTTCATTTGTAACACCCTTAAAGCCCCTCAGCTAACTGATAAAGGCTCACTGATAATCTGCGCTGCTTAAAATTATGAATAATGAGGAGCTACAGAGATGGCCCATAAGTTCAGAGCATCTACCGCCCACCCACCCAAGCCGGTCTCAGCTCCCACCTCACCATGTTCACACGGAGCCCCAGCTCCAGGACATTTGGTGTCTCCTTCTGGCCTCCATGGGCACCTGCACACAGAAATAAGAATGTTTTCTTAAATCTCAATTGTTTGAGATTTGACCACATTGCCCATTACACGCATCTGGCCGGCAACTCGTGGACTCAGGTCTAGTGACTGAGGACTGTGGGCATGCTGACACTAGTTATCCTAAGAAAGAGCTAGTCTTGGAACTCACTCCAGAGAACCACATTTCACCTGTTTGTAAAAGCTCTAGGGTGGAGCTTCTGGGAATGTCGACAGGACTGCCCTTGAAGCCAGAGATTAGGTATGGGAACGCCAGTGACAGGTGCCTGATTGCTGTGGACTGCTCATTCCAGTCACTGTAGCAAGGTGCTCTTCAAGGGAAGAATCCTGGAGTTGGGGTGGGACTGGGAGGAGAGGAGGGAGTGGGGTTGTGATTGATTGGGATGTAAAAGGAACAAATAAACTAATGAAAAAAAAGCTGGGAGTTGGCAGTTCCTGATTGACCTTCAAGGGGAAAGTTGAAGTGCATATGATCAAGATATATTACTTATATGCATGAAACTGTCAAACAAGTAATAAAATATTTTGAAGTGTGGGTGTTTGGTTATGTTTGCTTTATTTATTTTGGTTGGTTTGTTTGTTCCAGATAGAGTTTCTCTGTGTAGCCTTGGCTGTCCTGTATTTGCTTTGTAGACCAGGCTGGCCTCAAACTCAAAACAATCTTCCAGTCTCTGCCTCCTAAAGTGCTAGGATTACAGACCTGCATCAGTATGCCTGGCTATGTTTTGCTTTATTATTATTATTATTATTATTATTATTATTATTATTATTATTATTAAAATAGGTGGTGTCAATCTACTTCAATTTTAAAGCAAACTTTACCCTATCAGTTTATGCAATTAGGAAAGAGGAAAGGCTAATGCTGCAAGTGATAATTGTACCAATCAAAGCTACCACCTACCTCTTTGCAGAAAACCTTTTCATACAGCTGTTTGAAAGTACTGAATTCCCAGCACTCGGGAGGGCTACACAGTGAGACTCTGTCAATTTAAGCCTCACTTTCATTTCCTTTTCTGGAAACTTAAAGCAGCAAAAATAGAAACAATGAGTTAAGAGAAAGTGAGGAAAGGAAGAAAAGAAAGAAGCACTTAATATACTAGTGTTTGGTCTGCCTGATCTGTTTAATTAAAAAACAAGGTTAGAGCCAGGTGTGAATGAGGCCAGACTGGTCTACACAGTGAGTTCCAAAACAGCGAAGGCTATGCAGAGAAACCCTGTCTCAAGAAAGAAAGAAAAGAAAACCATCAAGTTTATTTTAAATCAAACACAACTTGAACCGAGCCTACTTTTTTTTAAGACTTACTTACTATGTATACAATGTTCTGTCTGCATGTTCACCTACATAACAGAAGAGGGCACCAGATCTCACTATAGATGGTTGGGAACCACCCTGTGGTTGCTGGAAATTGAACTCAGGATCTTTGGAAGAGCAGCCAGTGCTCTTAACTGCTGAGCCATCTCTCCAGCCCCTATTACAACATTTACAAACAAATCTCAAATGTTTATCTTTTGAGAAAGGATCTTGCTCTGTAGCCCAGGCTGTCCATACTCATGGCCTTCTTCCAGTCTTGGCCTCCTAAATGCTGGGATTACAAGGTGTGGGTCACCATGTGTGTCTTGCCATATATACACTGTGTCTCTAAATGGTAAGGACTCAACATAATAATCATAAGGAGTTGAGAGAGTGGCTTGGGGGTAAAGCCCTTACCTAATATTTGCAAGGGTTCGGTTTCCAATACTGGGAAGAAAAGGAAGCAAAAAACAGGGCCAGTGAGATGGCGCAGTGGTAACATCTAGTGCTGCCAAATCTGGTAACCCTGAGTCCAGTGCCCGGAACTCACATGCTGAAAGGAGAGAACCCGCTGCTGTAGGTTGTGCTCTTGTGCTCTGATCTCCACACGTGTACCAAGGCATGTGTGTGCAGACACTCACACACTGAATGGGTAAACATATATATATTTTTTTTAATTTGTAAAATGAGCTGGGCAGTGGTGGCACATGCCTTTAATCCCAGCACTTAGGAGGCAGAGACAGGCCTCCTGAGGCCAGCCTGGTGTTCAGAGGGAGTTCTTCTGGGACAGCCAGGGCTATACAGAGAAACTCTTTCTTAAAAAAAATATATATATATATGAAACAAGAGATTTTAAAAAATAAGAACTAGTATTCAAAATACTGTTGTGAGTATGTTATCTCTAAATCTCAAATTAGTCAGGTAACTATCTCATTCAGGAAGATTAAATAGCACTGTAAATAAGTTACCTGGCATTCAGGATTATGAGTGCAAATTCTGACCTTTGTTCCTACTGCAGGGCTGATTCAGAATGTAGCAAGGGTGTCAAAAACAAGCTCATGTGTTTTGCTGAGCTCAGCTTCCGGAGTTACTCTTGAAGAAAGAAAATCAAGTTCAGTGTCAGCACTGGAACGGCCTTGAAACAGAAAAGGACTTAAGGAATAAAGAGCATACTGGGTGTCATGGTCCACACCTTTCATCCCAGCCTTCTGTTTCCCTGAAATATTTTCTTTTTAAGATGATATTTCTATGTAACCCTGCTGGAACTCATAGATGCATGTGTAGAGCATAGATGCTCTGTCTCCTGAGTGCTGGGATTAAAGGTGTATCTCACAATTGGCTCAAGATTTTTTTTAATTAGTTTTTATTTTTTATGTATGTGTGAGTGCCTGCATATGTGTATCACATGAGAACTGGTGCCC